CCTACAATATCTTTTTTTTAAAATCCACTCTTTTTTTTATTTTTATTTTTTGTAGAGATGAGGGCTTGCTATGTTGGCCACACTGGTCTCAAACTCCTGGCCCTAGGTGATCCTCCTGCAGTCAGCCTCCTAAAGTGCTGGGATTACAGGTGTGACCAACCGGCAGCCCCATAATATTATAACTATAGCAAATTCAATGTATCTGAAGACTCAGGTACCACCCTCTGAAAGGTGAACCACTAAGTCTGAATTTCTGTACTGTTTGCACGTGTGGTGGGTGAATTACAGAAGACTGAGCTGTCTGGATGACCCCCTGAACCTGTACTTGCTCTCCAGGAAGATGTACAATTGTCACTGGTGCAGATCCTCTTAATGACTCTAAGAACAAATAAAAATTCAATTAACAAAATACACATTGTACCTGTGCACATAAGATAGCTGAGTTCTTAACACTGGAAAACACATTTCACAGCTGATTATATTTAATCACATCTATTAACCAAACAGGTACCTTCTATGGACCAGAGACTGAACTAGGGATTGAGATAAACTAATTATAACAAACAGCATATGAGCTATAATAGAGGAAAATCAGAAAGTACTGTACTGTAGAAGCAAAGAAAGGGTATTAGGCCGGGCGCGGTGGCTCACGCCTGTAATCCTAGCACTCTGGGAGGCAGGAGGATCGTTTGAGCTCAGGAGTTCGAGACCAGCCTGAGCAAGAGCGAGACCCCATCTCTACTAAAAATACAAAGAAATTAGCTGGACAACTAAAAATATATAGAAAAAATTAGCCGGGCATGGTGGCGCATGCCTGTAGTCCCAGCTACTCGGGAGGCTGAGGCAGGAGAATCGCTTGAGCCCAGGAGTTTGAGGTTGCTGTGAGCTAGGCTGACACCACGGCACTCTAGCCCAGGCAACATAATGAGACTCTGTCTCAAAGAAAAGAAAAAAAAGAAAGGGTATTGCTTCAGCTGGGTCTTGAATGATAAACAATTCTCCAAGGGTATATATGGGGGTAGTGATTAGGGGGACTGAAAGATATTTCAGGCAGAGGAACTGATTGTGCAAAAACATGGAGGCTCTTCAGAACATGTTATTCTAAAGTGATTTGGTGAAAAACAACCAAGAAATCAAGAGTCAAAAAGTGAGAGAAATGCTATCTTTGGGCAGTATCTTGAAAGAAACATCAAATATTTCAAGTAAATGATTGAATCATGGAATTATAATTTATTTCCACTGAAATCAGGTGGGGGTTCATGGAAATACCATGGTAAAATGCTAAACTAAGAAAAGTCCACCCATCAAGGGTAGACCTCAGCCTCACCTCAAGTTGTACCTTTTCTAAGAGTTCTCAAATATTTTCAGTTAACAGAGATCTCGCCTTCCTCTGGACTACTCTGGTTCATACCATTCCTCTTGGACTTAAGTCACTAAATCAAATCCCATGCTACTTCTCAGGCCCTGAAAGGAACCTTCCTGACTGCTCCCCTCTTTTATTTCTTAGCATTGGACCCCAGAACACTGCCTTATTCCCTTTCATGGAAGGTTCTTTTCCCCTTCCCAAGACTGGATTAAACTCCAGTCTCATGATTCCCCCAAAATAATTCCCACCGTTATGAAATTTTGTATACAAAATTTATCCAGGTTCTGAGAACTGCAAACTCAGCACAAACAACTCCATCCAAGAGACTTGACCAAATTCTAACCTGGCTTCTATCAGGTCAAGGCTTTGTCCCTAGGATGATCCTATGCCCCTTAAGATGCCTGCCTGAGATCTGTGAGCTAGTCTGATGCCACTACACTCTAGCAGGGGCACCAGAGCAAGACTCTGCCTTTAAAAAAAAAAAAATGCCTGCTGAGAAAGCTTAATGCTGCTGAAAGAATTTACTGTTTACATTCATCGGGTGTCAGGCAGATGGGAGGAGGAGGAGGGGATAGGTATATACACACCTAATGGGTGCAGTGCGCACCATCTGGGGGGATGAACACGCTTGAAACTGTGACTCGGGTGGGGCAAAGGCAATATATGTAACCTAAACATTTGTGCCCCCGTAATATGCTGAAATAAATAAATAA